GGTAGATGGTGGTGGAGGCGGAATTGCAGGTTATGCATAGACGTTGTTTTTTGGTTGTTCTTGTTGTTTGGGGGTCCTTGTTTGGTGGGGGAGGTGGGAATGATTTCTCAACATTTATTTCCCTAATTTTGGAAGAAAACTGTAAAGCAAAGAACAAAAATCCTCAACATCCACCTCGTAGAATAACCAGAAAGTTACAGGCTTAACATTGAAGTTTCCTTGCCGGCTCTCATCCACCTTGTAGAGTTACTACTTTATGAAATCCTCAACTAATCTTGTTTGAGAAACCTTCCCAATTTCCTAATTGGTATTCTTTTCTTTGATCATTCTACAGATTCACTGTCCATCTTCATATATGTAAATAAGCACTTTTTACATATATGCTTATTACAAATATGATAAAAATGGAAATGATATACACAGTTAGTGACATGAGAATATGTGCATATCTAAGGAATTGAATTAGAAAAGAAATAATAGTTAGTGTACTTGAAGGATAAAAACCTCTCTTGTTGCCTTTTATTCTTCATAGTTTCGGGTTGGATATGTGGATTGGTGCCTTGAAGGATTATAGCTAACTTTTTTAAAATGCTCAATATAGCTGATATATGGGGAATATAAATGAATTGGGCGTTTAGTTAGCATGCTGGATTGGTCAATACTATGAGGAACTATTTGATATTTGTATTGGTATTTTTAATAAGAGCAAGTTCTAGGATTTATTTATGCTTTCTTGGTATTTTTTTGCAACTGGGCTTCCATACGTGTTTGGTGATGTTAGGCTACTTCGATTTTTTTTTAATAGTCATTGAGGTGAAAATGCACTGGGATGTGGTAGTTGTGGTAGTTTTGTGTTGTGAAAATTTAGAATGTCTTTCTTATAGTAGCAATTACTGTTCTTAGAAAATGGAAAACTTGGGCATTATTTTCTGTACTTGGTATTGTGAGAAAATTTGATATTGCAATTCAAGTTCTGATTTTCTTAAATTGCTTTATTGTCTTACTATTCAGAGTTGCTCCTATTAATTCTTTATATTAGTGTGATTTTTACTTAGAGTTGATGTAAGATTGATATATGCCTATGGAATGACTTATACATTTCATGATAATTTTATTTATGTTGAATATAGAATATGGATGGTCACAGAGTTAGGAATAAAGAATCAATGTTATGGTCGGATGAGAACGAACTTGCTTTTATCGAAATTATTTACGAGAGAGTGAAATTATCCTCTCAGTAGGCAAAGACAAATCCCTACTACATGTTGCGCAATACAGAAGCACGCTTTAGACATGTTGTTCGCTGAGTATTCAGATGAGAATATGGTGTTCTAAGATATACCTTTGTTAAGTTAAGCACAAGAAGTCATACATTTTGATGC